AGAACACTTTCCCTTTAAACAGAGCACTCGAGAGCCTGAAATGCATTTTGATTGAGCTGCAGGTGGTAGCACTCATTCCAGAGTTGACAGCAATAGCAGATACTCTCTTCTTGTACCCCAACTCCAGCTAAATGACGACCGGGTACATAGGCAGAGGAAGGGGGACAACTGATATCAGCCCCGCACATCCCCTTTTTGTGCAGTCCAAAGCAGGTTGGTCAGCACAGCTCCCAGGGAGAGGCAGCAGGAGCAGCACTGGAGCAAGGTGGCAATAGAAGGGGCACCCCTGCCCCAGAGGCATGCAGCAGCATCCCGTTGAATATGGTACCCTGGCCAGTGGCCCCTTAACTTTAAGGCCAACCATGTTTCCCTTCCCACCTGGCTGTCACCAAGTTCCATCTCCACTCCCAAGGCAATTTTAAAAAGTGTTATTTATTGCTCATTTTAAAAAAGTGTTAATTTGTTGTGATTTAATTGCATTCATTAACTGTGATAAATTGGCAATATTTTATCAAATGCTCTTTACAGGTTTCCAAAGACAATTAAAAACTTTTCATTCCTTCAGGTTGGCTGCTATAAATGGAATTGTGTGTGTGGGAAAATGGCAGGGTATAATGCAATAGGTGATTCACCAAATCAAGACATCCCACCAAAGGCCTCACGTATGACTGATATTTAAATGGGATATAGACCTTGTTCTGGGCCTCTGCATAGGGATATATTGTCTAGTTCATTGGAGAAAAGCTCAAGCTGAAATATTCCTACTTCACATGAAACTGAGGACTGAGGTTATCAGATGTTAGACAATGCATGGAAGTTCCTTGTGGCTAGGGATTTAGGTTAATGGAGATATATTTGCAAAATGCAAACTGTTTAGGGTATCTCTTGGTGCTTACCTCATAGCTATATTTAAATCGTGCTGATTCTTTCTTCTTTCTGGAGAAGGTCCAGAGAAGAGCTACAAGAACGATTAAAGGTCTAGAGAACATGACCTATGAAGGAAGACAGAAAGAATTGGGCTTGTTTAGTTTGGAAAAGAGAAGATTGTTAGGGAACATGATAGCAGTTTTCAGGTATCTAAAAGGGTGTCACAAGGAGGAGGAAGAAAAATTGTTCTTCCTGTCCTCTGAGGATAGAACAAGAAGCAATGGGCTCAAATTGCAGCAAGGGAAGTTTAGGTTGGACATTAGAAAAAAGTTCCTGTCAGGGTAGTTAAACACTGGAATAAATTGCCTAGGGGGTTGTGGAATCTCCATCTCTGGAGATGTTTAAGAATAGGTTAGATAAATGTCTATCTGGGATGGTCTAGACAATACTGGGTCCTGCCATGAGGGTAGGGGATTGGACTCAATGACCTCTCAATGTCCTTTCCAGTCCTAGTATTCTATGATTCTATGACATAAAAACATCTGTACCATGGATTTATATACAGGCAAATAAGATATACTCTCTTATTCTTTATCCCTTTTTTAATGATTCCTTACATTCTATATGCTTTTTTGGTTGCTGCTGCACATTGGGTGGATGTTTTTCAGAGAACTATTCACAATGACTCCAAGATCTCTCTCTTGAGTGGTTAAAGATATGGCCTTTCCTATACACAGCTAAAATTCTCATCCTAATCATCTCGACTTCTGCAATATTCTTTTCTCTGGGCTTGACAGATGCAGTTTGGGTCCCTTTCACATCCATTCAGAATACCACTTCTAAGACCCTTATCCTAGCCTGTTTGATCATGTCATCCCTCTTTTGCATCCCTCCACTGGTTCCCCCTTCTTTATCTTATCAAGCATAAACTGCTTGTCTTTACTTCCAAGGATTTTTACAACATTTCCCCCTTTACCTGTCATCTCTCATTCACTATTGAAATGTCTTTTCCCTTTTGATTGGCTCTTTATGCCATTCCTGGTCAGGAACTTGATGCATTTTTAAGCTTTGTATTTTTTACTATGCTGCTATTCACATTTGGGAGAAGTTCCACATAAATGTCTGCAAAGACATCCCATTATTCTCCTTCAAAATCTTATTTAAAATTCTCATTTGCTGTGATGCTGATAATAAAATTTAGCACACAGATCACTGATGTATCAAGTCCATTAACGTGCCCTGCTGACCAATACTGTCTCATTGTTTCCATGTACTTCCCTTTCTATCTGCTTGTATCCATCAGTCTATTGTCTCATTTTTATACCGTAAGCAATTTGAGGCCATGACCATCTTTTTGTTTGGTTTCTTTAGCACCTAGTATAGTGAGGTGATGGTCCATGACTATTTATTATTTGTATTATCACAGCCCCTACATGCCATAATGAAGGATAGGGACTGTCACTTACCCTTGAATACATTGTATCTATTGTCCACTTGCTTTCCCCACTAGAGGCAGATTTGCAGTCCAAACCAAACAGAGATGTAAGAGGGTCTTAGTCCCTCTTTCTTCTCTTCATGGCCAAGTGAGGGATGTGACCATCTAATCTTAGATGTTTCCATAGTGCCTAAAACAGTTGGAATCTGGTGGAGAAGTCTGGATGCCATAATAATACTGGCATTAAATAATAATTAATGTTCTCATTTCTTCATCTGCACTGAGTCCTGTTTTCAGGTGTGTAGATGTGGAACAATGCACATTGACAAGGACAGAAGCTCTTAGCTCCAGTGGAAACCACAGAACCTTGACAAAACTCTTTTGCAGTGGTGTTGATGCAGAAGGCTAGTCCTTAAAATTACTTGGTGAATTTATAACATGAGTAAAACATCTCCTTAGGGACTGAACTGAAACCACAAACTTGGTTACCCATATTTGAGTATCAGTGAACCTCTGGTCTATGTATATGAAGCCAAAACCTCTTGACCTAGCTTGATAGCAGATCAAGCAAATCAAAGTATATTGCAACTATATTATAAATTACATTTGAACTAAGTAGATAGGTAGTCCTGTCAATGAAGGGGTGAATATTTTCCTTTATAATGTAAGTTTATAGATGATTTGGTGGCCCAAATAGCAGTAGCAGATATCAAAACTTTTCTGCAAAATGAGGTCCTGAACTTGGCAACCCTGTAGCTAGTTTTTGTCACATGTTTGCAGCTTGAAAACTATTTGGCCTTTACAGCAGCCAAAAGAAGCGTCCCTAATCATTTCCAACCTATTAACAGATGGGCCAACAGCTTTTATACATGGGGCATACAAAATACTTCAATATCAGCCAAAACTAATTAGTAGCAATATCTGAACCAAAATTTATAACTGGCATAATATGTATTAATGCTGGTGAGATTACAATTTAATAGAAGTTTCCTCTCAAACCTCATACCTAATTTTGGTTTTGATTTGGTGTGTTCTGAACTTGAAATAGTAAAAGCTACTCTTGATTGATCTATCTTTTCTATTAAGCACAGGGGACACATTTTCTTATATAAAAGAAAAATATTAGTGGTGGTATAATAAATAAAAATCAAATTATCCAGAAATTAACAAATATCAAACTTTCCTGTTAAGAATATATAAGAAAGAACAGAGTAATATGAAAACAGCTTTTGTTGTTGTTTTACTTTCTTAATTAAGGCGAATACAATATACCGCTGTAATCATAGTAGGTTGTTTCTATTTGAGTGACAATTTACAATATTGTACTTTTGTACAATAAATCAGCACATGTAAATGGCATAACTTTAAATTAAAAGATTATTTAAAAATTAAGAAATCCTGCAACTCAATTTTCTTATGCCCATTATGAGCCCTTGTACACATCAAGACATCAAAGCCCATGTAAACATCAAGATAGTGAAGGTCATACAATATAGTGCCCTCAGACTGGCATTGAAGTTCACTCAGAATTGGCTTTTTCATAGATGGTTAAAGAGCTGACAGCTGACACTGCACCATAGGTAAGGATTTGCTTGTATATTTCTATCTTTCAAATAGGACTTATCTCCAGGTCTTCAACATTTGTGTTGTTAGAGCCCCCCAAAAGGATAGAAGTTGACCCAGTGCGAATATTGACCAAGTGTGAGTGGAATCAACACAACGATAAGCCATTTTTCCAGACAATAGTATTAAGTTGGAGTGTAGGTTGTAAGTTTTCTGAGGAAAATTCATACTTTGGGCAGAAGAAACCCATAAAGGTAGAAAATCTAAAATGGAAACTCATAGGTAGTGGGTGAATCTAGGGCTTGGGGAGACTACTCCCCAGCTCTGGCCCCTTCCACTTGAGGCCCTGCCCCTTTAGTGCTCAGCAGAGCTGAGCCCAGTCTCTCTCCCCACTGTGGGTTGCAGCTGTTCCCTGGACAGCAATGTGGCTGGTGGCCTTGCCCCAGGGTAGCACAACCAGCCCCAGATAACATGGTCTCAGTCTCCCCCAGAGTACTGGTGAAATGAGCAACATGGCTTCAGCTTCCCCAGAGCCACTCCTGTAGGCCTTAGTCCTGACCATAAAGCCCTACCCCCAGCAGCCAAGCCACGAGCCCCAGCACTAGGTGGTCAGAGGATATGCAGCACAGCCTCTTGCATGGGAACATCAGGCAAGAAGGATCCTGGACTCTGGTGGAGCATGGGCAGGACCACGTGAGGCAGTTTGGGAGGGCAATGCCTTCTTCTGCCCTCGATACTCATCACTCTTGTGTAAACTTAGTATTTGTAAGTCTGAAAGTAGAGGTGAGAACTCAAGCTACTTTTACTTCATCTCTGCCTGTAGCATAGGTGAGGCTGTTTCTGTCTTACCTATTTGAGAGAATGACACAAACTGAGCTTTGTGGTCAGTGACTCAAAACATCTTAAGGCTATGGGCACCTGGTGGTGAAAAATAGGCCCAAAGGCTACTCTTAGCCTCTGTTCCATCTGAAGTCCACGAGCAGACCAGAGCTATTTGCAAAATGGACAACACTGTGTAGGAAAGGGTGCCAACGTGTCATGAGATTAATATATTTCTTAAGCAGTCTTTTATGTTACAGTTGCCACTGTTGGTGCATGAGTGAATCTAAACCAGTACTGATCAGTATCTACTTATGAAAAATGTTGTATAAAAGCTAGATGGTGTTGTTGTTTGTAGAACGAAAGGGGTCAGAGTGCATATCTGATTGTATGGGAGAAGTGGAGTCACAGATACACTGAGAAAAAGTATAAAATTATAAGAAGTTTTTCTAATTTAGAGGATGGCTAGTTGGGCTGTAGAGCATAGAGAGGAATGATGAATAAGGGCAAGCAGTAATTGTGGATCATTTATAGAGAATATAATGTGAAAATGCTGTAATGACTTGACTATAGGGAGTAGCTAAGATGGGGAGGACAAGACAATAAAACTTATTTCAACTTCATAGGTCAAATTGTTTTGAAGTTAGGAGCTAGCACCAAACCCCTCTCCAAAACAAACATACCTCAAAGCAGGAGCATGGGAGCCAAAAACAAACACCGCAAACCGAACATATATTTGGGCAACATTAAAATGGGAGAAGCTCAATTTTTCAAACTTCTATATTGTACTAGCACCTTTTTCATTTATATAATTAAAAAAACAAACAACCCTTCTCCTGTAACAGAGGCACTAGATATTTCTGGGGGGATTACTTCAGTCATGGCACAGTTTGGGAGTGGGAAAAAGAATTATAATTGGCATTATAAAACAAAGCTAGTTATGACATCAACTATGCAATGATTATTTTTATTCATGATTTTACCTTCAATGAGGTTCTTGCATTGATTCTAGTTGAGTATTATTTTTTACTTAACTATGTTCTGTAAAATAATAATAAAAAACCCTTGAAAAGCTGAAAAAAATCTCTTGAACAGTAACTAAATATGTGAGTAATTTTTTCTTAAAATCCTTTAATACTAGCAGACTACTAGGGAATGTACTGATCCACATGTCTGTAAAATGTAGCAAATTTTGGACACTAATTTAGTACTAGTAAGTGGTAAATGATTGATTAAATGCTTCTTTTAAAGCCTTGAATTCATTGTACAATTGTTTTAGATTCAAAATGTATCGATCCCCTTGCTAGAATTTTATTTTGATAGTTTGTGTTGCATGTTCTATTGTATCCAAAAATAAACTAATTGTTTACATTTTAATTTCTAGTGGAAAACATGTTGTCTTTAGAACTCAAGAAAAGGTCAAAAGAATTGGACCACACGTAGAAATCTTTGAGGCTTTTCATACCAAAAAGGATCCTAGCTGCAAAAAAGTAATTAAAGCAGCCATTTATATTCAGAAATATGCCAGAGGATGGCTTGAACGTGCCAGATTCAAAAGAATAAAGACCAAGGTAATGTGTCCGATGTTAACGTAACATACAATAATGCCTTGTGCCTAGGTGGTGTTAAAATTCTAGAAAAGTAGCCTAAGCACTACTACTTTATGATTTTGATATGAAATATTATTACACCTGTGCCCAGTTAGCTCTCTACCATACCCATTATGTTGCACAACTGTGGCCATTTGGAAATTCAGTGACAATGAAAATAGTATCTGAATGTTCTTACTCTAAATGGAAAGACCTCCATCACTTGAGCTTAAAGAAACCTCCATTAATTTGTTGGTATAAAGGGCTCTTGATTGATATTTGATCCCTTTTAACTCTGTCCTGAAGAGAACAGTGGCACACTTGTTTGCTAATCAGATAATTCCAGTGTTTCTTTCTCCTGTATAAAAACAGCATAGGTTTAACAAGCTGTTACCTTTTTTCTTTATTTGCCCCCATTTTAAATATAAGATATTTGAGCTAAGCATGTATAGAATCTTGTCATAAATTTCTCCTTTTTGAAGTTTGCTTCTTTTTCAGCCTGTGAATCAAATATGAGCTCTTGCATGTTGGGTCAGAGGGAACTAGAATGTTTATTTTGGCCTTTCATTTCAATGTGTATAGTGAGTAAAAAGAGCTCATACTTATTGCTGGCTGTAGATATAACACCGCTCCACCTCAGCAGACTGTCAATTTCTAGGTAATATACAGCCCTCTTATCTAATAAGTATTCCATAGCCTAGCTAGCACTTGACTCAGATGATCTACTATAAACTGGGGTGTTCACTAACCTGTTTATTATATGCATCTGAAAAGCATGGTTAAAGGATTACCAAAAATCTTTAAATAGGGCTAATACAAACCAGATAAAAGTATTCCATAATCATCAAATTGTCCTAAAATTCCACAGTGGGTATACTGCGTTATATACTGAAGAAAGTGGCTGCATTGTTTATATAACTGAAGGTGAAATTAACTTGCATAGTTTTGAAATTTGTTGTTGGACCAAAGAGAATGGACCATACTTTTCCTTACATAGCTGTGCTTTGAACTGAACACTGATTGTTAGGTTCAGTTGTTGGCATGTAAAAGTCAGCTATTACTGTACTATGGAATCTGAGATGCCACATTATTTTTCTGTAATTGTATCTGATGATAACTACGGCATTTGATGCAGTGCATAGCTGCTGTTATCCTCCTCACCATTAATAAGTCAACAGGTATGTTATGCTGTTTCAGACAATGATTAAGGTCTTATTTGCATGTATTATTCCTTCATATTTCTGGAAGTATATTTAACGGTATAAATTATGCCATCCGCTTTAAGTTTCTTTTCAGCATTAATGTTTATTAACTTTGGCCACAATTCAGTGCCTTCTGAAGTCACTGGAAAGGCTTGCATTGACTTTAACCCCATATCTATTGTTTCTTGAAATCTTAGCATTGCTTTTTTATTACCACACTGTTGATGTAGTATGTGCTCAGTCTCAGAACCCTACCATACTGATGCTTCTGACAAGTTTCCCCGGTTCCTTGGTGATGACTTCCCTCCCACTGTTTCTCTTTCCCCATCATTCTCGTAGCACTTGGAGATTGAATCTTGTCTTTCTAGTCAGATCATGATTTCTGAACATTAGAAACATCTGCTGCTCTTTCTTTATTCCAACTATTTTCTTAGTCTTGGCGTGCCCCAAACATGCCCAAATATTTCCACCTGAACATCCTTTTGAAAGGACTGCAGACTGAAATCAGATCTAGTACACTAATCTTTTATACATTACATGATGTGCAACTGTTTTCGTATCTACACTTATTTTTGGCAATAGAATTATCTCTCTTCACTTTTAAGATCTTAATTTACTCTGCACATCTATTAGTTTCACCTCCTCATGTGCTTTCTTTAGTCATCTTTCACTGTTTCTAAAAGTAATGAAAATGAAATACATCTGTAATTACAGGCGGCACGTCATGGACCATCCCTTTTAGCGGTTGTAAAGGAATACCGTAAAATGATGAATCGCATTCAGCGTCGAGCTGGTGTTTTGAATCCATCCACACCACTGAAGTATTCAGAACTAGAGGAATGGATGGACAAGAAAAAATGCAAGTGCTGTTAACATTTCTCTACAGAGTAATCTTTTATTATAATTTCCGTGGGTTGTATCTGTTCTTAACTGATTCTGCTCATCTATAACTTCAGCATTTCAAATTGCTTCATGATGCAAAGGACATGGCATGTTACCATGTGCACAAGTGCATTTGTAAGATGTCATTGTGGCTTTCAGTTGTTAGCACCCTCACTGACCTAAATCATACGACTGTTTCGTGATATCATCATTGCACTTCTGACATTCGATTTTTTTTTTTTGCTTTGTAAGTGTCCAGTGATGGACAGTGCTGAGCACTGCCAGGGAGAATAGATTCTTAATGAGCCCACAGGGGATGGAAAACACATTTGCCAATCTGAGTACTTGCTAAAGTCTCTTCAGTAATAATGATTGCATTTAAAAATTCCAACTAGGTTGAAAATTATTACCAGTATGCCCCATTTCAAATATTGTGAATCTCTCTCAAATTAGCAGTATTTTCCAAAATGGAAAAATTATGTGTGTATATTAAGAGCTTTTTGTGGAAGGAGCTCTGTGTTTTAGAATGTTTCATTTTTAAGAAATTTTATTCACAGAACTATTGTTATACTGCATATTGTCTTTCGTATTAGCTCACTTCCGTTACAGTCGAGTAGCTACTCAGTGGAGTAGCATAGGCTGTGGAATGGCTGTATGGTTGTACTTGAGAGACTCTCAGTAGCACTCTTGTGTAGCACAGTTTGCACAGCATGGTGGTGTGCTGAGGAGAAAATGGGAATGATGATAGGATGAGACTACAGCCAAACAAGTGGTCTTTTGGGGGAGATGCGTTTTACTACTCTTGGTCTATGGCATCAGTAATTGAAGAGAAACACCAACAGGGTGGGATATATTTGAAGGGTAGTGGCAGTGCATCTAAGCTGCTGTTCTGATCAATCTCTTCAGCACGGTTTTGGATATCACTACTGGATCAATCCTTGGGACATAACAAAAAGTAATAGGATGAGTTTAAGACAAAAAAAAATTAGCCTGGAAAATAATAATACAAATTTCCTCGCAATGAGATCTATTATGCTGCAGAATATTCCCTTCTGAAGGAAGTGATCACAGCCCTGTCATAAATGTATGTAAATTTTGACTCATAAAATCATGCAAGGCATAGTGGCGTACTGTAGGACTGCTGTGGTGAGTAGAAGCAGTACTATCCTAACCAAACTTTTCAGTATCTATCCTGTGATATCCAGCCATGTTGGAAGAACACATTGACTGGATGCTTCTTCAAGATGGGTAGCATTGTTAATGTTGATGATTAATGGTTCTTGGTAGGTTTTAGAGTTTATGCGCCATTGGAGTGAATGGGTGTGAAGTGCGCCTTTAAATTACTGTTTCACTCTGCCTTTCTGAAGTCTCAAGAAACCAAGGCTACGTCTACACTACGACTTTTCTCAGCAAATAATATGCTAATGAGGGACTAATTTGCATGAGTTGCAATCTCATTTGCATATTTTCTTCTGATCTGTTTTTGCACTAGGGGGTTTTGCGCAAAAAAAAGCAGTTTTCTTTTTGTGCAAATATCCCTTTATCCTTCTTTTTGGGGTATAAAGATCTAGCGGAAAAAAAGAGGTTTTGCACAAAAAGAAAATGTTCACACTGCTTGTTTTTGTGCAAAACCTCCTAGCGCAAAAACAGATCGGCAGAAAATATGCAAATGAGATTGCAACTCATGCAAATTAGTCCCTCATTAGCATATTTTTGCCAAGAAAACTCGTAGTGTAGACTTTGCCTAAGAGTATACACTGATTCCATAGTCAGCAAAATATCGTCACAGACTAGAGCTAGAAACATGTTTTCAAAGGAAACTTTTAATTCTGAAGAAGTTAATTAGGCTACCAGATAAAGATATGAATTGGATTCCACCTATTTTAAAGGCCCTTTGAAAAAGAAGATTCCTACTGTAATGTCTCATGCCGTATAGCATTCCATGGATTTTGGAGTCACTGAAGTATGAATGTGAAGACATAAAAATGCATCCCTTGATAGTTTCTTTGTTTGTAGACATAAGATGCTACAGACTGACATTTTATCTCTTGTAATCCTTTTATCATGATAGCCCTTAAATGTTTAGAGGAAAAAGTCCATCTTAGAAGTCAGATGTTGCTTTTTTATGCATTAAAGTGAGCAACGCATGCTGTGTTTAAAGAAGGGAAGGAAATAGTCCTTTTACATTCATTCATGCTTTTAATGTCAGTACTTAATCCAGTCAATTTTTATTAACTTTGAGATAAAGTTCAGATTAATAATTTCAGAAATAACAAGTAAACCATTCATTCTGTTAGCTAGACTGAAATTGTTTGCTTACTGAGGAGGAAGATTGGCACAGATACTCTCAAATCTTTGAGCTGTGGTAGATTACCTAACATGATTTTAAATTTGCAAATGTAGAAGACTATGCAGACATTTTTATTCTACATAAAATTATTTGACACTTCTTAAACAATACTAAACGTTTCAACTTATACATATTAGACCTAGTAATCTTTTAAAAAATGCTAAAGGAAACTTTATTAAACTTTTTCTTTTAGTTTATGAAACAATGTTTGCCAAGAGGGAGTTTGGGAAAGATATGGATAAAAATGATCTTCAGGCATTTTTCAAAGACTGTGGAAAAGTGCTATCCAGGAAGGAAATAGATAGGATGCTGCATGTGGTCTATCCAGGTATGTGTCTTTTAAAAAATGTTTTCACAAGGGTCAGGAAACATCCTCTGCAATTTTGTAATGGTTTTTGTGTAGCCGTGGGGTCCAACACGCTAGCTGCTAGCCACATGTGACTACAGTATTTGGCTGGATGAGTGTGGCTAGTTGGCTTGAACAGTGTGGTTATTTGGCTAGTTTGCTATATTGTTTCAGAACTGGTTGGACTCCATGGGAGAGGCAGAAGAGGACCTGTTCTTAAAAATAGATCAGACAAAGCCTGCTGTAATTTTTCCTCACGTAGATTTTACAACTTCAAATGAAAATACACTTTGTATAGTTTTTGTTTCAATAACGTAAGATTCTGATTCTTCACCACCTTGTATGGCATTCATGAGACTATAGAGAAGTTTAGTGTGCCCCTGTTTGCTACTCATCCCTACTCTGCACACCAGGGGTACCAGACTTCCACCATCCCCGTTAAGCTCCCTTTTGCACACAACTCTTTACAACCCTGTGCAACAATATGTTATGCCAAACACCCACAACTACTAGTATGTGTGGGTATAAATATAAGCTGACACAGGAGTAGATATAGATGGCAAAAGGTGGCAGACTTAAGTTTGAAGTGCCTGATCTATGGGTGTATGGTAGTTGAGGAAATGGTAAAGTGTGTGATTGTGGACAGAGGACCAGAGGGTTCAACTTTTCATTGCTTTGCATTTTGGGTTTGTCAGATACTGTGCATATAACAACCCTACAGCTTCACAGTGACATTTTTTGTGCATTTATATTATTTAAGAGAGCAAGTCAATGACATTAAATGTCATAAGAGGAAAATAATGTTATGTTGCAGTATAAATAGGTGATAAAAAAAGAATAAAAATACTTCAAAGAAATCAAAACTCCCCTCTCTCTTTTGCATCTTGCTCTTCTGGGGAAGAGAATGAGGCAATGTTAGCACAGCTTATGAATTCTAAGGGAACTCTGGACGCACCCTTAGACACTAAGAGACAGGGAAAGGACAGTTGGCATTTCCAGATTCCTCTGCACAGCAGTACACTTCAATTTTAAATTCATATTGTTTGTGGCCATCCCAGGTTTTCCAGCACATTCAGTAACAGTGGGTAGGTTCTTGGACATTTCTGATAAAATGGCAGTGAAAGATCTGTCAGTGTTTGTAATTAAATTATTAGACTATAGCACCAAAGCATCACTGAGATGGAAGAGATATTGGCCACAAGTTTTGGGTGCAGATAAACTGTACTAGGTATTGCACTCAAAAGACCCTTTGTGGCTCCCTAATTTTGGGGTCAGTAGAGTAATCAAATATTTAGGGACAGTCTGCCACAGTGTGATAAACTCATGTTCAGTTGCATCTCCATTGGTTTGTTAATGGCTTACTACTATCATGGTGACTTTTTTTTAAAGAGATTTTTTCAGCCTGCTGAATTTGTATCCTTGGATAGTAGGTTTTCATATAAGTATCTGACCTAATATTGTCAACAATATTCACTTTTAGTAAATATAATTAATTTCTCATGGAAAATCATGCATTATCTGCCATTTAGGTCACATTCATAAGACAGTCTGAATAAGATCAGGTATTTTTAATCATTTGCTCAGTCTTCATTGCTATGGTAACAAGAGATTTTATAGCGGTGAGACATTTTTAGTCTAATATTCTAGCATTTGGAAAGTATTGCTACTATTCACTATGTTCACAGACATGCCAGCAAAGGTTAATGTTTCTCCACTCATAATTTCACTTATTTAGCAATTCTCAGTCATAGCATAGTTTCAAGTTTGGCTTCACCAGTTTGCTGCCAGGGGATGAAATGGGTATAGAACAGACTTTTTTGTAACGACAAGTTCAAAGTATAAATGAGTAGATCATGAAATACTTTCTGAGATATAGAGAGATGTGTCTAACAACAGGACAACCACAACATTATTTCCATCATGCATGTGTTTTAAATAAATGGCACTTACCTGTAAAGTGTCCTTTTTATTTATAATACAAATATTTATTTTTAAAGAGTAGTTGTAAACAGAATATAATTTCACCAAATGGCCAGGGAGAGACACTGTGACTGAATATTGTGAATTGCTAAGTAACGGCTTTCCTCTGTCCGTGGAAAGACAGCCATACCACCTGATTGCACACGCAGAAGAGGAGTGATATGGCAGTTGTGGGATGGCAGGATAGACTCTTGTGTCATCCTGCTTTTAATATTTCTGTAAATCTATGGGCTAGGCATTGCATCCTGTATGATGGACTGTGTGACCAAATGGTGGAATGGTTGGTCATCATGCCTGCAACCCTCAATGAATGCAGTAAAGAAGAAAAATCTCTCTTTGCTGCTTCTGCTGCCTATCTTCTAGCTACGTTTGTTTGCTGGTATTGCAATCAGAGTTGTACTCTAGATGCCTTCCCGCTACACACTACTTCTGTGCCCATTCTGATTTCCATTTCCTGAAATTGTAGATGTTGTACAGTGCTGTCTTCCTGCCAGTCAATATTCTGCTATCCAGCCTCTCGGCCATTGCCATTTGCTGCTTCTGTGCCCTCCATTTATTACTCATCTCTGACTGCTGCCAGAAATTCATGGATTATATGGGGAGAAAAACAATAACTTTTTAAAAAACATCTCACTTCTCTCTGTCTGGTCCTGTGGCCAGAGAGAAAATATCAAATATTGCTTATATACAAATGCATGGTGTGCCCATATATAGAATATTGCATGCAGATGTGGTTGCCTTATTTAAAAAAAGATATATTGGAATTGGAAAAGGTTCCAAAAAGACAACAAAAATTATTAGGGGGATGGAGTGGCTATTTTATGAAGACAGATTAATAAGACTGGTACTTTTCACCTTAGAAAAGAAATGACTAAGGGGAGAGGGAATGATTGAGGTCTACAAAATCATGTCGGGCATAGACAAAGCAGATAAGGAAGTGTTATTTACTCCTTCTCATAACATAAGAACTATGAGTCACCAAATGAAATGAATAGGCAGCAGATTTAAAACAAACAAAAGGAAGTATTCCTTCACACAACTCTGTCATCCCGTGGAACTCTTTGCCAGAGGATGTTGTAAAGGCTAAGACTATAACAGAGTTTTAAAAAGATAAGTTCATGGAAGATAGGTTAATCAAACACTGGAGATATTCCACAGAGATTTCAACAACCTACACCCCACCATCAACCTCAGCCTGGACCATTCTACACGAGAGATCCACTTCCTGGACACCACCGTACAAATCAACAATGGAAAATTAGACCCCACTCTCTACAGAAAACCCACCGACTCATACAGTTCCCTACATGCATCCAGCTCCCATCCAGAACACCCCACACGATCCATCGTCTATAGCCAAGCCCTTCGATACAACCGCATCTGCTCTAACCCCACTGACAGAGACCAGAAGCTTCAGGATCTCTACCAAACATTTATAAATCTCAACTACCCACCCAGAGAAATAAAAAAGCAAATTGAAAGAGCCAGATGAATACCTAGAAACCATCTACTTCAAGACCGACCCAAGAAAACCAACAATAGAACACCACTTGTCATCACCTACAACCCCCAACTTAAACCTGTCCAACACATTATCAATAAACTACAGCCTATATTGGAACAGGATACCAAACTCAAAGAGGCTCTGGGAGACAGACCCATAGTCTCCTATAGACAACCACCTAACCTCAAGATGATTCTTACCAACCACCACAGGACATACCACACTAATACCAACCCTGGTACCTTCCCTTGCAACAAACCCCGTTGCCAGCTTTGTCCACATATTCATTCTGCTGATACCATTATTGGACCTAACCAAGTGAGTTATAAGCTCAAGAACACACATTCCTGCGCATCCAGAAATATAATCTATGCTATCATGTGCCGAAAGTGTCCGTCTGCTATGTACATTGGACAAACATCTCAGACACTTCGCCAAAGGATTAATGCCCACAAAACAGATATCAGACAAGATCACAAAGAGAAAACAGTTTCTTGCCACTTTAACCAGAAAGGACACTCTCTAAATGACTTAGCCACCTGCATTCTGCTACAAAGACCTTTTACATCTGCACTTGAAAGGGAATCCTCTGAACTGACATTCATGTTAAAATTAGACACTTGCCAACAAGGACTTAACAAGTCTTTGAACTTTCTCACCCATTACCAAGACAGTTTCCCCAATTATCACCTGTAATACCATTAACTCACACACATCCCACTCTCCCTACCTTTAATATCAGCAATTCACAGACACTTCCCTTCCTTCCTCCCCCTTCCCACCCCCCCGCCTCCCCCTTCTGTTCTGCAATGTGATTTGTCCTTTTCATATTTGTTCATTTTTTTAAATTGTATCCTTTGGTATATATGGTTGTGACTACTTTCTTCCACTATTTGATCTGAGGAAGTGGGTCTGGCCCACGAAAGCTCATCATCTAATAAACCATCTTGTTAGTCTTTAAAGTGCTACATTGTCCTGCATTTTGTCCTAATCTCTGTTTGCCAGAATCTGGTAATGAGTGACAAGGAGAGGGATCACTTGATTCCCTGTTCAGCTCACTCTCTGGGGCACCTTGCATTGGCCACTATCAGAAGACAGAATACTGACCTAGGCTGGCTGGTCTTAAATGACACTGCTCCTTTCACCTCTCTGCTCATACTTCATTTATAATTATTTTTATCTAATGTATATAGCAGCCAAAAGCATGGCAGGTGCTTCTGAGAGCAAATATGAAGAAGACATTATACCTTTCCTGAGCAGTTTACCATCTAATTTTACCTCTAGTATCTATTTTGATTTTTCTTCCAAATCCAACTATCACCACAGCAATGGGGCTTTTGAAAATGTATCGCCTAACTTCAAAAGGCCTGTTCACTCCTCTCCAGTAGCAACTTCCTGTCAGTGCCGTCTTTGGATGTCTTTAAACTAATCATAACCTAGGAGTGAAAGCTTCCATGTCCCACTATAATCCCTGTAGGTGTCTGGTATCCTCATTTAA